CTATATTTAAGAACTTAAGAAATTTACGGACAGTATGTATTTCTCTATATTAGATTTTCCTTCAGAATTACTAATATTCTCTAGATACAACTTTTGTTCTTCATTTAATTCTAATAATGCAGTAAAAGACGAAATAGGAATATTCATATTACTATTATTTATAATAGGCGCAGGAAGATCAATTCCTAACCTTTGTATTGACTCAAAAAGTCGTTCATGTAAAGTCGTATTGATATCAAAAATATCACGTATTGCTGTAGAAGGCGTATTATAATTTGCTAATATGCCTTCTAACCATAGCTGTCGTGGAGACTCTCAAATGGTTTGCCATGCTAGTAGCAGTATATTTTTCATTGTATAATAATGCCAGTTGCCCTTCATTTAATTGAATGATTAGACGACCTTTTTCTGTTTTAATAAAATTTAATAATACAAATTTATTCTAATTATTAAAATAATACATACTTTTTGCAAATAATAATAAATAATAAAAAATACTGACTGTTTAAATTTATTCTTGGTGCAACATAATAATTGTTGACGATTTTCACTTTGAATTAACAATAAAGCATCTATTGCTTCCGAAAGTTTATTATGAGTATCTAATGATATTTCGGTAAATATTCTTCTTAAATTTGTCTTAGCCATATGTAGAGAACTATACACTATATTTTTAGAATATTCGTAAGATCTTACAGCATCAGCGATTATTTGTCGAATTCTTCTAAAAATTCTTGCAACGTGTACATCTACTCGACCTTCCATGTGGATACCTAAATTATCGAATATTTCATTAAATTACTAATCAATATACGTCCTATTTGACTTGTTCTTTATTATTATTAATAACAACAAAAGCTTGTTTGAGACAACTTACCTGACTTAATTAATTGTGCACTCTGTTTGGATTAATGGCAACTTCACTATATTTCGACATTACAATGAACATACAAAATGAAATGATACTGTCGATAATTTAAACTAATTTTTAAGTATACATATAAGTAAATACGAAGAAACATGGACTATATATATTTTGACAGATAATGCGTTGACGGCACCAGTTTTGCGTCA